TTCATGTTCGACACATTCTAGTGTTGTTACAAAAATTAACTCATTATATTTTCAATTTATTTGACTTTTATGCCTGACGAATATTTATTTTTCAAAAAATAGGTGCTATCTCCAAAATGGAAATTTTTTGGATCTCGGGGACCACACCATCGGATTCCTTGCAAAATGTTGGTCCAGAAAACACTAAAATTGGAGATAGGTATTTTCAAAAGTTATTTACCGTCTTTTGGGGCAATGTGCTCGGTGTATACAGAAAGCATCGCTCTATGCCTGCCACAGAATCATTCCCGGGAGAGTCGGCTCTGATAAGGACCCTCCAGGGAGGGACACTCTCCAATAGCTGTGCTGTACTCGTATATTATTGACGACTCGGGGGAGTGCGCAGGAGAGCTGTGCGGCCCCTCACGGCCGGCCCGGGCTCGGCCAAAACAAACAGAGCTGCCGCCGCAGACCGCGGCTTCCGGAGTGCCGAGTGGCCACCTCCCCTCCCGCCGTCCGGCCTCAGCATCGGCGGAAAATGGGGATCCCCACTGTCCGCGGAAACAGAGAGGGGCCAGTGGGAGTTCTATAGCCTTGGGCCAGTGTTGGGCTCATGCCTGACGCCTCCGTGATCTAGACACTCTGTTGGCTGAGTAAAGGCCGATCGTCCACTGGTGGCAGTTCCTGCTCCTGGAACCACCCGCCACAGTGGGGTCACGACAGGAAAAATAAACAAAGAAGAACAAAAAAAAAATTGTTGAGACCATGACCGATGGTCCGTCCCCTTCGCTGGCTCGTCTCTGACTGTCCTATATCCCGCGCTCCCCTCGTGCCTCCCGCCCCAGCCCGCCCGCTCCGCTTATCTCTCTCCCTCCCACCCTCCCTCCCTCTCCCTCGCTCTCTCCGGCATCTGTCTGCCCTCGCCCAACGCCTCTTAGCCGGGGTCCGCTAAGTTGCCATTAGCGGAACACGGAGGGAGCAATGTCCGACCTCGGATTCACGACGCATTCTCATTGGTGATAAACAAAATAAAACATGACGAATTAAATGAATGAATAAATAAAATAAATAAAACGAATGAAGACAATTTAATGAATAACTTTTATTGTGCATACGTCCGTAATCATACGTCGAATGATACGTCTACGAACTTTACTTTCTTCTGAAAATAAATTGATACCAGAATGATCGTCATTTTACACTGCGGTACAATTGTGGCTGTGATATGTGCCTGTACACGTCTGTGTTCAGCTGTTACCGTGCTATTGCAGCTGTTCACAGAAACTACAGTTTCTGTCTGTGTTGATGGTGAACATAAGTGACGTGAATGTATGCTACAAACGAATGTTGCACTTTTTGATGGCAAATATTTATGCAACGTCTGAACGTAACCGTGAAAGCATTGGGTCACTGTGTGTATATCTTGATTGATCTTTAATATTGCAAAGTATTTTTCTTTAAATATTGAAGACACTCATGATTAATTGTTCGGCCTTTTCTGAGCAAGCTCCGTCTCTTTAACATTTAAGTCTTACGTCATTGGAAAAGCGATGCAATATCTTCAGTTGGGTCGGTTGTGACCACTCTGATGAGATCGAAAATGCCCAGGTGTATTTACTTTGGACCTATCGGGGTGCAGTGTTTTACCAGCCCAGCTGCGGCGGCTGTTCGGTGTATCCCACCCCAGGTGTAGCCACTTCGGTGCCGGCTGGGCGCTGTGCCCCAGCCCAGGTGTGGCCGCCGTATCGGTGAGCAGAGCCGCCGCTCAGAGTGGCGCCCCGTCTCTATCAATAGCTTCTGCAGCGGCCGCCAGCGCCGTCATCAACTGATACCAGACCGCGGCGTGTCGATCGCTCACCGCGGCGGATTTCGACACGGTCGGCGGATTTAAATATCGAGAGCAGCGCCGCTGCCGATGGATCCGCGACAGACCAAGGCCGTGATGAATGACAGCCTCTTGGCAGGGCTGGTCTACGGAGGACTTCCTCAGGGAGTGGGCACCCGTGTGTACCAAACCACCTGCCTCTACAGACGTCCTGTGCAGCTTCTGCAGACCACTACAGACCCCCAGGGGAGCAAGTTAATCGGTGGACGGCGGCCAGAAGGTCAGTGACACTACACAGGGACTCGCCAATCGCTTGTGTGTATGCACAATGTGTATACCCGCCCCAGGCGCTGCCAGAGGCATGTCTCATCAATACAGTGGTGTCCATTGGTGCGGAAAGTTTGACAGTATCGGGCCTAACAGCCTGTCTGGTGCGGCACCTCTTCCAAGGCCAGAAATACCCAGCATCGTACGGCTGCCCGCTGGCAAAAACACAAACAGAATAGTTAGCGAGATTACAAATAGCAGGTCTCACGACGCTTATTGTTTTGTATCTTTCGTTTGGTACCGAGGGACCGAACAGAAGCTAATGATGAAGCCGGGTAGCACGGTAAAATGCGTAGGTCGTAGTTCAAAATGTTGTTGGGAAAAGGAATGAAAATCGAAAATATCGTCATCATTTGCACTTTATTTGAAAGCCGTTTTGGCAAAACACCTTTACTGTTTTGTCGTTAATTCTCTGTTGTTTTTTTTTACGTTCCCAATTCACGGCACCAGGGGGTGCAGAAAACGCAATTATGAAGAGAAGAGTTAGAGAACCGGAGCAACAGAGCAAGAGTGGAATCTGTTTGCACTCACTCAGTATCCGAGGATCTGCTCGATCGATGTCATAGTGAATAAACGGTTTTAATGCTGTCCCTAACAGCAATGAGTTTCGCACAGCCTCTATGTATTTGCCATTCACTGTGCATGCAATCTATTGTGCACACCTTTTCGGGATAAGTCGTGACCAGAAGTGCTTATCATTGATACAAATCTCTCTGATCCCCGGCTGGACAGTGTGACAGGTGGGTTATCAGCAATTCCGGCCGCTCGCCGGATGCAGTCTGCAGGTGCCGTGAGGGGAGGTCTGTGCAGTGTCAGTGCAGACACGGCGCCGCGTACCTACTCCCGTCTGATCGTGTATGCCGAGCGGGTCTCTATAGTGAGAGGCTGCAGTCCGATCCATGTGGGCTTAGAATGGGTCGGGTTAATACCTTCTTGACGGCTCAACTGCCGAATGGTGATTTTAGATGAGGTGAACTAGCCTTTTTGTGTAAATACGATATCGAAACCATATGACCATAGTATATGGTGAATTCAGGTGAGCTTTAGAAGACTGACAATCTAAAGTCTGTCACCCTCATCTACCCAGCCTTTTGGAATATCGCAGCACAGAGCGTCACCTGTTACCAGTGCCGTCTGTGTGCCCCGCTGAGCGATTGACGCGGGTACGTCACCGCAGGCTCTGACGCTGTCCAAATAGTCGGCTCATCAGCCGCCGGGACATCTTCCAGTCCCGTGGCGACGTCAGACCCATCATCGCCACGCTGACGGTCAAAGGGAGCCGCCTGGAGCTAACTGCACGGGAGCCACCGGGAGCTAACCATACGAGCCACCGGGAGCCACCGCGGGAGCCACCAGGAGCCACTGCGGGAGCCACCGGGAGCCACTGCGGGAGCCACCGGGAGCCACTGCGGGAGCCACCGGGAGCTAACCACGGGAGCCGCTAGGAGCCCTCCGAGGGTCGGCTACTGCCCGATCATCACAACATCGCTACTACGGCACCTTTCATCGCAACATCTCCACTCGGCGCATGCAGCCTTAACCCTCGCCCGCACATGGGGGGGGGGGGGGGGTTGCCACCCCCAGGTAGTCTTTCTGCTCTGCACTCAACATTTTTAGAGCTAGAAAGCTGATTTTTCGTATAGCTGCTCCTCTATCCTTTTCTGATGTTCACTGAAAATTTCAAGTGTCTGTGATTTTTGGTTTCGGAGATATGACCTTGTTTTTCAGGTCAATGACCCAAATGGCCAATTCTCAACATCTTGCGTTTGCCATGTGCCTTGTGAGCTTTTGACACCTTGATTTCGGCATTTTTTGCAAGTATTACCTACCAACTATCATGGAACATGTTGTTCGACGATGTACAGGTGTCAAGATCAGGGTCAAGGTCAACCTAGGTCATCTAAGATAATTGCGTTTTAGGCAACCTGAATTTACTTTTTGTGAAGTTTTTTGACTGCATTTTTGGTAAAAGCTTCTCAGATCATGATTTCATGTAATATGGACACAAAAACAATCGGTGCACACATCAGTATACACACAGACACACACAGACATACAAATACATATAATTGACCTTGACCTAACTTGACCTGAAATGACCTCAGCAGCAAAAATCTGGTCGGGTAGTATTACAAAGAGGTTCTAGCTGGCCTGGCACCAGAAAACAGCATCGTCATTGGTAGGTATATGATAAGCAGCGCACTTGATATCCAACGGTGACCCAAAACAGCAACATTTTTTAGTTTGACCTGACCTGGAAGGTCAATGACTGACCTGAGAAGGTAAAACTGGGTATCATTGGATTTGTCTCTTCCCAAAGAATCTTTTTGGTCTCTACCGCTAAGCTCTATCTCCAACAGGAACGAAATGGCGCGAGGGGTGGCAACCCCCCCCCCCCCCACGTGCGTTCTAGGATGGGAAAATGGCATGTGCGGGCGAGGGTTAATGGTAGAAATTGAATACCTTATACATGCGTATGAATTATAAAAAAACATTAGTTGAGTAGGTACAATGATGGATGGGCTAAGGATGAGCTCTTCCTTCAATGGACTTTGTTACGTAATCGATAATTCCCTGTCCTTTACTTTCATGTAACAGCATTTCTGTCTTGGCTAGCACCATAAAGCGAACATTGTAACTGTCAGAGTGATTCATAGACTGTCTGACAAGACGGCTGAGAACCTACTTACCGCGGTTTGATCTCGGTCTCTGCAAGGAGGGTGAGTGTTGAACCGGTCTGTGACTTTGGTGTTGCGTTTGACAGTAGCTGCGTGCCGCAGCTGACACAGGCCCGTGCCGTTCCGTGCCACCTCTAACGCCGCTCTCCATGTCTTTCCGTGCCGCCAGGTGGTCTCGTGTTCGGAGAGCTGTGAGGGATGGCTCTCACCCGGGGCGTCCCCCGGCCGCTGCCTCTGCCGCTGCTGCTCGTCTGTCTGCTGGTTCCTCAGCTGGCGACTCTCGCCGCCGCTCAGTCACCTGCAGAGTCCTCCCGCGGTCAGATTCTGAGCACCAGTGAGCGGCAGCGGCTGTGTGAGGACTCGGAGGACGGGTCCTCCCGGAGCCGCCGGAGCTCCGAGTGGTCGCGGGAGCAGCAGGTGGCCGCCGGAGCCGCCGAGGAGGGGTCGGTCGGCCCCGGAGGGTGCCCCAGGACCTGGGACGGCGCGCTCTGCTGGCCACCCACCGGCGCCGGCACCAACCGCAGCGTGGCCTGCTTCCACGAGTTCCGCGGCGTGCTCTACGACACGAGTGGTGAGTGGTGCCCGGCGGGCGGAGGCGCGCGCGGCAGGTGCAGCGCCCGGCGCTGACAGACAGAGATGTATGGCGTCAGCCCGAGACGTGCCCGAGGCCGCCGATTTATGCGTTAACCGGCAGGGCTGCCTCGCAGCGCCGCAGTGCGGTACAGTAGCACATCGCCCGGTTACAGATGGTCCTGGTCAAATAAGCGTCTCGCGGTCGCTGCAGAGACGTTTGATGGGTCCCCGTGTCGGTGAGATGTGTGCTGAGGTCTGATGATGCGCACTGATGCGGCCGCCCGCTGTAAACACGCGGCGAGCTGTCCGTCACCGGGACCATCCATCAGACTTATGGTCGGTCCAGCAGCAGCCGGACCAGGTCCATGCCAGTCTTATGCCGCCGGTCCACTCCCGGCTGAATAATTCAGCGGTCGGCGGCCGGCGCGGCTGGCCGGGAGGTAATCCGTGCCGTGGACGCCGACGGGTGGCGGACCGCCGCCCGTATCCGGTGTCTCTGCCACCAGCGCGGCGCGGAGGTAGATCGGATTACAGGGGTGTCGAGCGGTGCCGGTTTATCAGAGAGAGAGCCGCCGGGAGGGAGGAGCGGTCAGTGAGGGTGTCGTGTAAGAGAGGGGATCAGTCAGGGTGGCTAATGGACCCGAGACACGGAGAGGGGTGATTGATATGTAGTGACTGGCAGTCGAGACGTCATCCCTGCGCCTCTGCGTTGCTGGACGCCGGCCCCTCTCTCACGGAGAGCATGAATTTTTGAACGCCTCTTTAGCTCGGCTTCTAAATTATGTACGGGCACCTGATAGCGGCGTGTTAAAGCTAGTGAAATGCGTTCTTTGCCAAAATAAATTACGGTTTTTAACTAGCCCAATGACATAGTTGTAATGATTTTTTTGGAAATCAAATTTATATTTGCCGTACCATCTTGTTTTGAAGTTGTCTTTCTCCGTTCACGGGGTTATTTTCAGACGCGGACACAAAAGTTCATTGTTTGCTCGCTGTAACGCCACTGGATTCGGCAAACTTTCCGAGTAAGTTTCGCGGTCTCGGTGGCGCCGCACAGCCTCAATGCTAAAACTTCGATCGGGTGGCTGATTGCGAAGCCAACTAGGTCATAAATTTTGCAGCCCTGATCCGAACTGACCGAGAACTGTCTGCGGCTTCGTCTTGTGGTGTGGAGGGAGCTAAATGACTGCTTAGAACGGGGCAGAGACTACGGAATGCGGGTCGTTGGAGCATCCATGACAAATTGAGAATACAAAAGAAGAAAATCGTTTAGACGCAATCGCGAAACAGATCAAAGATGGTACTTTCAGATTTATTCGAGTTTTGTCACATGCCCTTCGAAATTCATTTAAAAAAACGTTCCGTCAAGTGCCGCTTATATAGAGTACATAAGTACGGGCAAAATCATGCAAATTACAGTTAGGCCACCGTTTAAGAAGTGTCCCAGAGCGTCGTGTCACCGGCCCCCGTCCCGTGCCGCAGGACGGGCGAGCAGGATGTGTCTGTCGGACGGCGTGTGGGCGTCATCCGCCGACTACTCTGCCTGCCGCCCGCTGCTGCTGCAGGCCCACCCGTGCAGCCCCGGCCCCCCGCCGCCGTCCAGCGCCAGTGTTGAGGCCGCTTCTGCCATCTACCTGACGGGCTACTCGGCTAGCCTGGTGGCCCTTGTGGCCGCCGTCGCCATCTTCCGACACTTCAAGTAAGCCTAAATTAAAACCAAACCAAAATATTTCTATACATTTATTTAGCATTTGCCTACGCCTGATATCTGTCATAGTGCTTAGAAATTTGTCAAAGCCCGTCGAGAGATTCCGTTTTGGCTGATTTTCACCCAGTTCTTCTAAACTAGCTGGCTGAGTTAAATTCACTCATATTCTCTTTTACGGTTACCACTTACTGAAGCAAATAACTTGAACGACCCACGGGAGGACTGGCGTAAATGCCTTTAAATTCCACAGTGGAGTATAGAGAGGGCGCACCCGCCGCACCCGCTGCACACTTCAAAGAAAACATATATATTTGTTACGTGACACTTGATGAACATATTTTATCTATGTTTCCCGCCTCCCGGGTAATTACGAGCGAGCGAGCGCAGCGAGCGAAGTGAGTCTTTTCAACATAACGGGAAAATCTCAGTATGAGCGGCCCGGCCCGGCCCGGCCCGGCCTGTAACGCTTTTGAGAGGCTTATATCTCAGCAACCGCTGGACCGATTGGCCTGCGGGCTTTTTTGTTGGGTAGCCCCATCCCTTCTACCCCGTAATTGACTACTTTTGATACATCTCAGTGACCGTCGTGGCACGTGCCACGTGAAAAGTCAAGGGTGTTCAAGCAGTTTTGCAAAAGTAATGATTTTGAGAGGCCCATATCTCAGCAGCGGCTTGAGCGATTGTCTTGCGGTCATTTTTATAGGGTAGCTGCATCCCTTCTACCAAAGGTCGGATACTCTTCATCTATGTGAGTGACCCCCACTGCACGTGCAAAATGCAACAATAAGAGGTGTCAAATTTGTTCCCATTTCAGTAACTCGGTAATTACTGGGGCGATTTCGCTGAAACTTGGCATACAGGTAGGCACCCACCAGGCAATGCATTCCCATGTGTTGCGGTTAGGGTGCTACTGCACGTGCGCACGTGCAGGGGGCGTTTCCAGATCTCGAGAACGGCTGGGCCGATTGCGCTCAAATTTGGTACACGGTTGGGGACCAGTTAGTAGGGTGCCGTGCAAAAGTCAGTTTGGACCCCGTTTGCACGTGCGCACGTGCAGGGGGCGCTTCCAGATCTCGAGAACGGCTGGGCCGATTGCGCTCAAATTTGGAACACCGCTAGCGACCGGTTAGAAGGGTGCTTTGCGCAAGCCCGTTGGAAGTACCCTCTCGCCTTTCCGCACGTGCAGGGCTCACTATCTCGCTCGCTCGTTCTTCGCCCAAAAGGCGTTTTACTGGTATTATCATTTACATATTTGTTTTGTTTTTCACAGGGAGTTACGTTGTCCAAGGAATACCATCCACACGAATCTGTTCGTGGCGTGCATGGTCAATGACGCACTGTGGATCACCGTCATGACCATTGAGGTAAAGAAAGACCCAAAGTGTGCTGTGAGGTGCAGCGAGTTTAGAAGTTGAACCAAGAAAGACATGAAAGCTGAATCAACTGCAGATAAGATGCATGATGAACGGCTCAGCAAGAAGGATTGGGTTGCAGAAGTGCTGGTCTCGCAATCTCGAGAGGCTCAGCACTTTGCTATGGACCTAAGCCGAGACACTAAGCTTGTAAATCATTCTCGTCTCATCAGACGAAGTCAACAGCGCTGCTCGTTTGTCCCGGGTCCAAGTTTTCATAGAACGGCCAGATAAAGCCGAAGGATAAAACTTGCCGAAAGGATTCGTGAATGCGGGCCTTCTAATTAGGCTAATTTTTATGTGAAAGTTAGAAAGATACCGGCTCGTTGTCTGGCATGTTGGGGGGGGGGGGGGGGCACCAGAATGCAGGTTCGTTTCGGCACCCCAAGTTATAGAACCAGAAACACAAAGCACCTACATGAAACCATTTAAATACCATCTATTATCGCCATGAAACCGTTTCGGAGTTTGTAAGACTCAAAAATCGATGTCTTGCCAACAGTTTTTCAACTCGCCTTTTATTTATTTTTGTTTTGTTATTACTTGCTGAACATATCAAGTCCATAGACAATAGATATATAGGATTTAGTGGCACAAAGCCACTTAACCCTCGCCCCGTTGGGGGGGGGGGCCATTTTGGCCCCCCCCCTGTGGTTTTTCCTGAATAGCAAGAAAACGGCGGCGCGCAGCGCCGCCAAATTTTCAGGACCTTCCCGGGCATCAATTTGACACCTTCACACCAAATTTCAAGTCTTAGGTCACCTGAGGTCAGGAGTTATTGAGGTCAAACTGAGGTCATGTTCGAGCAAAAATGAGCAAAAAACATGCAATCTTGAAACGCTCACCAAATCTACAGTTATCAAGCAATTTCAAAGTTCTTTATATGGTCTAGTAGACAAAAAGCGGCGCTACAAAACTGCTATCTCGGATTTTCAAAATTTTGGGTTTTTGACCCCCAAAAATTCAAAAAATTGATTTTTTTAGAAAAACTTTTAAAAAATCCAAAATTTTTCCGAATTTCGAAAAAACCGGAATATATGTGATAGTCCCTGCGCTCTTCTATATACATACCAAATTTCAGATCGACATCTCGTTTTTTGGCCAAGTTATAGCGAAAAAACTGTTCAAAAATGATGACGTCAAATTTTTGAACTCAATTTTTAGCGATTCTAGACCACTTACGGCAAAACAAAGACCACCATTGAACTCCCCGTGACAAGTTGCATCGATTCGATACCCATTTTATGCAAAAATATTAACTTTGAAATTTGACCTAATTTGACCTGACCTTGACCTGCCCTTGACCTGACCTTGACCAAAACGTGACCTAGGCTGGCCCCAAAGGCTGCCTAACCCACATAATCGCATTTGTCATGTGAAATGGACCATAAAACATGTATCACACGACACTTTCATATTGTGACCCCCCAGTGACCTGACCTCTGTGACCTGACCTGGTATCAGTGACCTCAAATAGCAAAATATGTGTTTGAAGAACATTTCCCCATCGATGATTTTCAATGAAATGCATTTTACTCGATTTTACAACGCATTTCTTGAAATGCCTGTAAACGGTGAAAATTTGACCTTTGACCTGACCTGTGACGTCATCGGTTTGACCTAGGTCAATAAAATTGGGTCACAAGGTAGTTCCCTGATAGGGCTATCCAACACCGTTTGCCGCTTGTCACTAGGTTGCGTGGTTCTCGAGATCTTAGGGGGGGGGCCAAAATGCCCCCCCCCCCAACCGGGCGCGTTGCTCGGCAGAGCCCAACGGGGCGCGGGTTAACATTTACAATCCGACACATGCCGGGAGTTCCTAGCGGATCGGCAATCGGTAAAAGATAAAAACTCACACAAAACATTACACCCAGGTGACTGTCAAATAGAAAATAAAATGCGCGCAAATGAATGAAACATGGGTTTTCTTTGGTGGCTTATGACCCATATATAGGTCTAAGATAATCACTTTAATGCAATGATGCACATGTAATGCCGACAATAATGCCTCGTGTCCGGGTACGGCGTAGCTGTCGCCGCGTTCCTTGATCCCGGATCAGGCGCGAGCGTCGGTCACCGGCTCGACGGCAATTTGTATCGGTTTGGTGGGGCGCCACTAATCTCAGCTGGTGACCTCACACGTGGCTTCATACGTCTCCGTCCGCCTGTGCTGCGGGGGACCGGGGGGGGGGGGGGTGGTCAGCGCCAGCGGCCTCTCAGCTCCGACAATCCCCGCCATTCGTCAATGTCTCCTGGTGTGAAGGGATATTGGCTGTTCTCCGTTGTTCGCTGTTGGCGGCCCCTTTCCCGTCCTGCGCTGGTGTCTGGGTGACAGTGTCTGCGTCAGGTGAAGTCGGTTATCCTGTCAGTGCCGAGCTGTTGAACACGGTCACCTCGATGTCCCTCAGATGGCAATGGCAGGCACGACGCCGACCTCGTGCGGTCTCGTCATCCTGCTGCACTTTTTTCACGTGGCCACTTTCTTCTGGATGTTTGTGGAAGGTGAGACAACACAACGCAACCAAGAACACGATACTACCGATACGTTACATACGCTAAACAAATCAATATCACCTGATAAAATGGGCATGGATGAAAACATTTACTCGTACCTGCTTTTGATACAATTTATGTTTACAGCTTATTTGTGAGCTGCTTATTTCTGAAAAAAAACATACATAAGTATACGCATGCCTATTAGGGCGGGTCGATGGAACAAGTTTTCAAGTGAAGAGCGATTTTCCTACGGGCTGATTCATAAAACGGTTAAAACATATTTTTTGCGAATTTTTGAAAAGGAACTGGGCGCGCCGTCCACGGTTTTTCGAGACCACTTTTGCTAATTTTTCTCGTTGTTTGCAAAAGTTAGTGGGAAAAATTAGAGAAAGGTACTATATTTACCACTTTCCTAGTTCTACACGCTTACCCTCACCTCTTCACAAAGTTTGGAAACCCCAGTGTCAGAATCGTGCTCAGAATAGCGATTAGCATCGGCGATCTGAGCGCAACGAAACCAGCGCCATCTATTGAGCAAGTTTGGCATAACATTGATTTTGACGGCTTTCCGACCGTTAAAAGCTGACGCAGCCGCTGCCACGTCGGGTATATGGTGTTCTTTGGTATTCCTAGGTGCCTGGTGTTCCTTATTTCACACTAGGTGAGTTGTACCCATTCGATCCGAAATACTTCAGGAATCATAAATTGCTCCGGAAGCTATACCTTAAGTGATTTCGTAAAAAGCTGAAACTCTGCTTGAGGCTCATTTTGAATAACAATAATATAAGAATAACCAGTAACCTCATAATATAAATCAGAAATAGGAGCCAAAAAGTTATATTTAAAGTTATCGAATATTTCGCTCCTGGAGCTTCGTCAGCGATAATTACAGAAAAACATATCCGTTTTAAACATGGAACAACAAAGAACACTGCAGAATAAATAGCAAACTCATGCTACACTTCGCAAGGGACCGACATTTTTGGCGAAGTTTGAATAGGTACAATATGAATGTATGTATGCAGTGTACGTATTTACAATATACACGTATATAGGTACAATAAACAATAGCTTTACATACAAACATAATCGACTACATGTGCACTGCATACATTACACATAATATCATCAATTATTCACATGTGATTGTTATTATGTACACTTCAGACTATATGTATCCAGAGAAGTTTGTGACGTATTTACATTTTGAATGATGTTCTCTTTATGATTATACAACATATACATATATATGTATATAATATACTACACATATATACAGAGAAAATATTGTACAGAAATATACAGGTCTATCATACATAGACATAAAAAACTGTAAACCATTAACATATATACAGATGTGGCATGTACAATGCTTACATATATATACATATATCTATGAGTCATATATCATCTATGTACAATTGTCACGTACAGTATGTATATGTATATCTAAGGCTGCAGCCGTGTCAGCGGCCACGAGGTAGTCTGGGTGTTAAGTGTAGGTCTCTGGTCTCTGATGTACATGGACTCTTTTATTTTTCTGTCGGGACCATCCTTGGCGCGAGCCAGAATGCTCAGTTTCAGGTTGTTACATGTCAGAGGGGTGTGTAGGTGTTGGTTTTGATGAGAGCCAAACGGTGTGTCTATGCGTTTGTTGCGTGCGTCTCCAAGGTGTTCATTGAATCGCTTCCTTATCGAGCGTCTGCTTTCACCGATGTAAAAGGACTGGCCCTCGGGGCACAAAGAACAATCAATCCTGTAGATGGTGTTTTTGAAGTGGCACTTCCCTGCAAGCCCTGCACAGCATGTGTTGCAGCGCCTACCTCCACCTGGACATGCAGGAGGACTGAAGGCTGATTTAATCAGCTTCTGGCCGACAGTCTCGCCGCCTTTCCAGGCCACCTGAAAGGCAATTTCACTGCGCCTCACGATGCCTTGCACTATGTGGCACAATTGATCGTCAACGAATGGCAGAACGAGTGGGGTTTTGTAGGCTCTAACCTGATCGTGCTGACCTCGTGTGCCTGTGTCTGTCCTGTTATGTGTTTTGGTGGCCTCCTGCCGTGCTCTGTGAAGTGTGGCCCGTGGGTAGCCGTTTGATTGGAAAAGGTCATCTACCTTATGGAGGCTGCGCTCGGTGGGGTCCCCTGGTGACGATAGTCTCAGAGCCCGTAGGTATTGGGACCTAGCTGTTGCACGTTTTACAGACATAGGCTGTGCCGAGTTGAAGTGCAGAATGACTCGGCAGAATGTCATTCTGCACTTCAACTCGGCACAGCCTATGTCTGTAAAACGTGCAACAGCTAGGTCCCAATACCTACGGGCTCTGAGACTATCGTCACCAGGGGACCCCACCGAGCGCAGCCTCCATAAGGTAGATGACCTTTTCCAATCAAACGGCTACCCACGGGCCACACTTCACAGAGCACGGCAGGAGGCCACCAAAACACATAACAGGACAGACACAGGCACACGAGGTCAGCACGATCAGGTTAGAGCCTACAAAACCCCACTCGTTCTGCCATTCGTTGACGATCAATTGTGCCACATAGTGCAAGGCATCGTGAGGCGCAGTGAAATTGCCTTTCAGGTGGCCTGGAAAGGCGGCGAGACTGTCGGCCAGAAGCTGATTAAATCAGCCTTCAGTCCTCCTGCATGTCCAGGTGGAGGTAGGCGCTGCAACACATGCTGTGCAGGGCTTGCAGGGAAGTGCCACTTCAAAAACACCATCTACAGGATTGATTGTTCTTTGTGCCCCGAGGGCCAGTCCTTTTACATCGGTGAAAGCAGACGCTCGATAAGGAAGCGATTCAATGAACACCTTGGAGACGCACGCAACAAACGCATAGACACACCGTTTGGCTCTCATCAAAACCAACACCTACACACCCCTCTGACATGTAACAACCTGAAACTGAGCATTCTGGCTCGCGCCAAGGATGGTCCCGACAGAAAAATAAAAGAGTCCATGTACATCAGAGACCAGAGACCTACACTTAACACCCAGACTACCTCGTGGCCGCTGACACGGCTGCAGCCTTAGATATACATATACATACTGTACGTGACAATTGTACATAGATGATATATGACTCATAGATATATGTATATATGTAAGCATTGTACATGCCACATCTGTATATATGTTAATGGTTTACAGTTTTTTATGTCTATGTATGATAGACCTGTATATTTCTGTACAATATTTTCTCTGTATATATGTGTAGTATATTATATACATATATATGTATATGTTGTATAATCATAAAGAGAACATCATTCAAAATGTAAATACGTCACAAACTTCTCTGGATACATATAGTCTGAAGTGTACATAATAACAATCACATGTGAATAATTGATGATATTATGTGTAATGTATGCAGTGCACATGTAGTCGATTATGTTTGTATGTAAAGCTATTGTTTATTGTACCTATATACGTGTATATTGTAAATACGTACACTGCATACATACATTCATATTGTACCTATTCAAACTTCGCCAAAAATGTCGGTCCCTTGCGAAGTGTAGCATGAGTTTGCTATTTATTCTGCAGTGTTCTTTGTTGTTCCATGTTTAAAACGGATATGTTTTTCTGTAATTATCGCTGACGAAGCTCCAGGAGCGAAATATTCGATAACTTTAAATATAACTTTTTGGCTCCTATTTCTGATTTATATTATGAGGTTACTGGTTATTCTTATATTATTGTTATTAAGTGATTTCGCCAAGAAAACAGCGAGATGCTTAACTTTGATATATGTTTATCAGTTAAATTAAGTTTTGCAGACAGATAACATCAGTCCAAACCGTATGTTCATTTTTGAATGCAATGTAGCCAGCCACCTTACCGTCCTAGGACAGAAAATCACACTTCGATAATTGATTCAAACGCCGGCATGAGAGCGTTGCATTGCGTCCTGATGGCACACGTGATGTAACCGAGACGTGCTCTTCTAATAACAACAGCGTATGCTGCCTAAGTTACGAGCCGGACGGCTCGCTCCACTGTCTGAGTAGTGAGTATGGGTATGCACCGGATCGAAATTAATTTGTTAACCCGCGCCCCACTGGGGGGGGGGCTATTTATAGCCCCCCCTCCCGTTTTTCTGCAATAACTTCCGAACCGCTTGACGTATCGACGCCAAACTTTCAGTACCTTCGGCTGCATCAATTTGACACCTTGTGTCAAAATTTGAACTTCGTACCTACCATAGGTCGGCCGGAAATGACGTCAGAGTGACGTCATGTTCGGCCGATTTCGACGCAAAACATTGAACCACGGCAATCGCTCCCAAGAGCTCAGTTTTTAAGCTAGATCCATTTTCTTTGCATGAGAGGACTCAGAATAGACTGCGCTATCAAACTGCTATCTCGGATTTTCGAAATTTTGGAAATTTCGAAAATTTCATATAATAAAATTCAAAATTTATATTTTTACATTTTTTTCAGAAAAATTTTGACTTTTCGAAAAAACCGGAATATATGTGATAGAACGCATTATTATGACTAACTCTAGCAAGTTTTAGCTAAATATCTTCAAAAATGGCCAAGTTATACGCATTATTGCAAAAAATTAACAATTATTAATTTTTCAAATCAATTTTTCAGCACGAATTTGACATCGTACGCCAATATAAATAGCACCACCGTGTTCCTGAGCTCAAACTGCATCCAATAGACACCTTTTTTGTTGAAAAATTTTAACTTCAAAATTTGACCTTTTTTGACCTGAAAGTGACCTGACCTAAGCTAAATTTGAGTCAAAATGACCTCGAATGACACAGACGACATCAAATTCGAAATGTTAGGCCTAAATGGACCATAAAACATGTGTCACGTGACCGACGGATGATATAATATTTTCGTGACCTGTGATGACCTGACCTTGACCTGAAAATCAAAGTACAAGTTTGGTACCCTCAGAGTATCTAGAGCATCTGTTCACGAGTGTTTGAACCAAAAATGAGCCTGATCTGACTTGTAAGACGGCGGCCAGAGCCCAAAACGTGAAGAAGCCAAAATGCTAATAATTTTTACTTTGACCTGACCTGTGACGTCATCGGTGACCTCGAGGTCAATGAAATTAGGTTTCGCTCGACAGTTTTTCCGGGGCTATCAGACGCCGTTTGAATTTTGACGATCGGCCTAGTAGTTTTGGAGTTAGGAGGGGGGGCTATGAATAGCCCCCCCCCCCCCCCCCCCCCAGTAGGGCGTGTTATACGCAGACCCCAGTGGGGCGCGGGGCAGCGGGTCGAAGGTCACCCTCTTCCAGCGAGATTGCTATTGGTGACTCTGTAACGCGTTCTTTGGACCGATCTATGAGCTGCATGTTTAAACATGACTTGTTTATTGCAAAATGCTGATAGAATCGCATATCTTTATGTCTCCTGCCTCATTCGCTTCCTACACTTTTTTGCCGTAAGTGGCTCGAGTCTTCGTATCACCATTCCTTAGTTCAGCAAGCATCGCAGTGTATGCACTGTTTGCTGGCTGTCTGTATCGGCCAGTACCTACTGCCCAAAAAAAAAGTTTCCTTTAGTGAGCCCGGTACTTATTCCTGTCGATCACTGAGCAAATGACACAGACCGATGAGCCTGAGAGGTCTCACAATAGCTGGATGCTTTGGAGTAATTGACCGTCTCTGCAATGTTTACTCCGTAATTTCGGACCACATTGGGACAAAGTGAACAAAATTGAACTCGGTGATGGTTCGAAGCTGGTCAATGTATGTTGTATGCTGGGCGATCGCGACGGAATACGTATCTTGCAAGCTGCCAATGTAAGCCATTTTACCAAATTCAAAGGCTCAAGCTTCCTTACTGACAGCTACCTCGAGATTTGTCAAGAGGTGACGCCTGCTTCCGGGCTGTTCAGAAGTGACTCTGATCTGGACTGCATGGCGTTGCCCGAAACGGCACGAACGGTTCCCGCTCGATGCACAGGCACTCTTAGTACATAAATGGTCCACTGATCGGCGCGGCTTTAGTCCAATGGCTTTTCCACAAGTCTTGTAAACTTGTTTAATAATTTGGCCCTTGTCTGATTTTGGTGTAAAATAGAATTAAGCATTGACTACCGGGCTCATATACTGAAGCAATATGCTCGTCCAGCAGGCTCGTCCTAGCCGATGATCTAGCACGACTATCCTATTTATCATGATAAACGACGCATCCTTATGCACGTAAAATGCAGAAGGGCATTTCCTTTGTAATTACTTGCCTCTCCTAGAACAGAATGTGAAGTGTCACCGAGGACCACCACGCGGCATTAGTTCCGTTTCGACATGGAGGCTCCTTTCCACTAACTGCAACAACGTCGCGTCGGCGACCGCTTAGCAGCTAGTAACTACCGCGGTTATTATGAGGTCAGTTTCCCTCGAAGGCCGAAGCTCGATGCTCCACTGCTTGTAGTGGTGGCCTAGGTCATCAAAATAGGATCTGATGGTCCGATGAGAACGTGCACCTCGGGCAGTGATATGATACGCGGATCGCCGATCAGCAGGATACCTCGCAACTCACCCTCAGTCTGTTGTCATATGAAGCCGGGCTAAGTTGACGAGGCTAACTTAGTACTTATTCTGCAATTGAGCTGCTACTGTTCAGTTCTAACACTATGTTTGCATTTCAAAAGAAAGGTTATATTTACAGGCAAGGAAATAATCGAAGCCAAAACTGGGAATAATGCTGCTGAAGTCTCAGCGCAGAATCAAATGACTAATAGGTCCAGCGGACACTATCGCACTTGGCGAATAATGGCTGTGCTTAAGTCAGGTGAGCCCCTAATATGTATATTTCATGGCTACTTTAATTGCAATTGACAGCTTTCACGCTGTATACGCTCCAGTGCCTCACGTTTTTCATCAGCGTCCTAAGATCGCATCAGCAGAATGCATATTGTCTCGACCGACGCAAGGTTAACAGTCCTCTCAAGAGATGGCGCTGCGATCGAGTTGCGGAAAACCGATACAAAGAGCATGGCACCATGGCCACAGTTAGAGAGATACAGCCAACAGACTTACAGGATAGGTTGAGGAATAGCTGAAGTTTCGATGTATATATTTGAAAATAATTAATTATTTGACATTTGTGCTCAAAACTCGCGTACAGTGAAAATGTAGCGAAAAACCCGGTTGATTAATTGGCTGCGGCGACCCGCAACCTCAACCAAAAAAATTGAAAAAATTCACACAGTCTTCTCGTGACATGCTCCGTAGGAATTTCGGTCTTCATTTTGTGTCGTCGAAAAAAAGTTCTCGGATGACCCACCCTAATGCCTATGTATGTCTGAGATTCCAACTAATTTCAATCTTTTCAGGCCTCAATCTATACATGATGGTGGTACAGACCTTCATGGTGGATAGAGTAAGAGCTTACCTCTATCCACTAATCGGATGGGGTAAGTATGTTTCGGGCTTTTCGCCCCAATATCCATCTATTACGCGATGCATGAACGGTTATAAAAAGGACGTTTGTCTACGTATGAACTACTAACATCTATAACACACAGCAACTTCGCAATTGGTTTGGATTTCCGTTGAGCAATAACCCGGTTTACATAGCATATTTGACGAGGCTCTAGCTCGTTAATGTGGCGATAATTTCGATGCAGTGGTCTTCAAATATTTAGAGGGGATCATTTTGTAAATTGTTAAGCACCATAAGCATCTTTTGCAACATCACGGACGGAGATATAAGCTTGCAACAAACCCTATGTAAACGCGTCTAATAAGACGCTTTGTTGTATGCGTTTCAATCGGCATAGTTATTTGAGTTACTTTACCTGATCCGATGACTGTAACGAACACTAAATGGGTACCTTTTTGTTCAGGAGGCGCAATTCGCTGATCTGTGTATGTTCCACAGGAGCGCCTTTTCTGGTGGTGGCCACTTGGAGCGTCGTAAAGTCCTACACGTCCGGGGAACAGGTGTCAGAGGAGGGCTATCTCTCGCTGGTGGGTGCGCGCTTTATCGATCTTTATCAGAAAGCTTTATCAGAGATTTATATCAGACGTTCTTCAGACTCTTACGTGTCTACTTTTTTGTTTACTGGCGTGCCAGAACGTGCCCCTCGCTCCATACAATTTCTATCAAAAACGGTTTCTCAGGGGACACAAGTCTCTTGGGAAATAATTTCAGATGCCTTCAATACTAACTTGTTTTGCCGTTCAGGTATAATTTACCAAATGCACCTCCTACACCTTGCAGTAAATACATTGGTTAATGCCGGCCCGTTTTCAGCACAACCTGTGCGTGTCCGCCGAGGGTAACTACTCGTTTGTGCGCGGTCTGGAGCCGCCGCTGGACCAGGCGTTCCTGTCGCAGTGTCCGTGGCTGGAGGATAGTGAGTGGGACTGGATCCACATCGCGCCCTCCCTGATGGTGCTCGCCTGCAATGTCGTCTTCCTCGTCAAAATAATGTGTGTAAGTGTGCCTAGACAATGACAAAGTCATCCTAATATTACGAGAGTTGTCACGGTGAACGTTTTTGAATATTGCTGTCGACAGGGACCTGCTATGCATAAATTTGCTTCATGATAACTAAAATAATGAATAACGACATAGATAAGATGAATCATGTTATCATCTATGATAAAGATAATGAATATATTTATTCTTTACAGCAACCAAAAAGTAACAAATAACTGAACAACGAATGCCTATACCGTTCCTTAGAACAGCTAATGTACTGCGATGTGTTTTTGAACAGGTTCTGATCACCAAGTTACGCTCCACTAATTCCTCGGAGGCGCAGCAATACAAGAAGGCGACCAAGGCGCTGTTGGTGCTGCTGCCGCTGCTTGGCGTCACCTACATCCTGGTGCTGGTGGCACCGAGCACCAAACACGTCATCTACTACATCCAGACGGTGCTGGTCTCCGTACAGGTAACACCGACAGAATCGGCAGTCAGTTTAGGAAAACTGATGCGTCATCTTTTTCTTCTTCAATTTTTAGCCCCGTATCGATTAAATGACCGTAGAATATTGATCCATCACATATATAGTTCACCGTTTAACACATGCCTATAGTCCATACTTCATCAGATAACTATTATGGTATTTGTCTCGTTGTACGACTACGTTCTGGTATGGCCTATGAATTTCCATGGCTTATCCGTTTCATCATTGTTCGACTGCCTTATTGAATATGACGTCAGGCTATATTGTGCTGATTTGGTGACGTTTCAGGGTCTGATCGTGTCACTGCTGTACTGTTTCTGCAATACGGAAGTACAGTCCACGCTCAAGAAGCACTGGTACCGCTGGCGAGGTCGAGCCTACCTGCGTCCAGCCGACATGCAGCGTACCAGACCGGGAGCACTCACCAGGTAAACGGCGCGCCGGGCGGGTAAAATGAGTCGCTCAATAGTCACATTAGGACTAGGAGTAAACAAAGTTAACACCGATAGAAGTCTTATACCTATAGGTCCTCCAACTTTCTTGCATTTGAAAAGGCAATAATTTTTATAAGCGCACTCATCGTTCCAGCTTTCAGATGGCATGCCGATACACGGGATCCACGCTCTATAGAAGCGCTCAATAGGGACGCTCTCTATATGGTGATTTAGGGGTTGATTATGTGATCACGCATACGTTATTTATATGAACTGAATGATGAATGCGTGCGTCGATCTCAAATGAGCCATGCTTGAGCAGTAATATTTCATTCGCTCCATGAACGAATGATGCCAATAGTGTGCTGGTAGATTACGATGTCCATATTTGATTGGATGCGATTAAAGACGTGCAGTCAAACCATGCTCAACATGCAATGTGGGTCATCGTAAATACCACCAATAAGCCTTATTAATTAGTTATGCCACTTTCTTCAACAGCCTGCCAATGGCGCTGTGCACACTGTCTGTCTTGCGGCACAGTCTAACTCACGGCGCGACTGCGCTGCGGTGCAGTCTACCTCACGGCGTCGACACTAGTGACATCTATTGGCAAAACATAGGCTATGCGAGCTAGCGCGGCGGGCGCCGGAGCTGACCGAAGAGCCTTATTGCCGCGAAGGCGCTGGTGATTATGTGTGCAATGCTCCCCTGTTATGTGTTTCTGATGTTCTGTTTTCGTTCGTGCAGCCGTTTGAAAGCAGCCGGCGATACCTCGGCGACGGACCTCACCTACACGACAGCGATGGACAGCGACGCCGTATAGCTCCGGCGGAGGTCTTACGGTATGGATGGCGAGAAAGGTGGCAATGTGAAAGACCTTCTTGTGGAGGGAGACTCGGTTATGACGGCACGGAAAGCAAGGGAGACCTTACGTCCTTTGAACATTGGATGCAGTGCAAACTGGCAATGCAAGTGAAAATGGGTAATGGGTACTCGTGTGATATGACGGGTATAAATGGTATCTTACTGACGAATTCTCGTGCAATTCTACTTGTATTATTTGCGCAAACAGCCAGAATGTGTGGCTGCCCGTCTGTCGAGTTCATTTATGTATGTATCTATGTATGTATGCATGACTTGCAGGAAGGACGGGCAGCTGGCTTGTGTTGAGCAGTGTACATAGTATATATGCGTTAGTAAGACCTAATAAGTAACTTTGATAGTTGATACCATAAAACCAGAATACGGCATTAAATTTTCGCTTACAAATGAGTCTGAAATCTTTAATATATGAACTCTGGATTAGATAGGATTGTGCTTTTCTAGCTTTCTTTTGTCTGTCACTGGTTCTATTCTTAGTCATATTGATCGTGCTCTTCGCCTTTATGTAGTCATTTGCTGCTGTGCTTGTTGCTCTGCAACTATATTGCTCTCGTGTGGTCGGTAAATATCGGGTCAGTGTCTGGAGCCGTGTCACTGACCTGGCCCGTGTTCTCGTTGGTGGGTCGCCTTGTTTAGCCGACACGGCACACTGTATGTACACAGTACACACTGTACAGTCGGGTTGCGGAGAATTCCTATCTTGCTACAGGTATAGCTGCTCATAGTGGTCGCTAAGAGCGTACGTGAAGCTCGGTTTGTAGTGACTCCACGGCCCACGGGTGATAGATAACGCATGTTTTGCTGCAGTTTTTATGTGTAAAAGGCTGCCCACTCTTTCCTAACGATCCATACTTTCAATTAGCTCAAGTAGGTGCAAGGCGTGGCAGCTCAGTAACACGTCGATCGTCAGGTCCACTTGATGCTGCATAATAGCCGTTTTCACGACGGCCATCTGGTACACATTTGGTGCACATCTGGTACAGATTAGGTGCAGATTTGGTCAGATTAGGTTCAGTGTGTCTCTTAGCAGCTATCAGCTAGGGTTTCACTAATTGCTTATATGCCTGCTTTGTCATATTAACAGAGAGCATCATCAATTAAAACACTGAAATAAATTCATAAAATGAAGCTATTTGCTGTAAAAGAGATTAGGTGCAGATTTGGTCAAATCAGGTGCATTCGCCGGATAGCCCGTCGTAAAAACGGCTATTATCGCCAGAAATTGTGATAGTTGGAAGGGTGTGTGCGGAGCGAGACACGCCATTTTCGGACGATAGGAGCCAAGTGGTGACGCGCAGTCGAGCCGCGTGGCTACACAAACACTCGTGCGCCGATGGCCTGATGTATAACTAAGCTTGCTCAAGATGTGTGCTCCGATGGAGTGCGCAGCTATAACAAGAGTAAAGTGTTAGCTCTAACAATGGCGTCTGAAAGGAATGAGAAGGGTAAGATGGATGACGTGCGCATAACTGCAGAACGATTTTATGACAGAGGGCTGCCGGGTTCAATGTACTTACTGTCTACAATGACGGTTTTAGTTAAATTTTGTATTTTATTCTTTGCGTAAAGTAGGTAATTCAAGCTGCTTTGGTAACACAAGCAGTAATACGCACACACTTAACCCTATTAGTGGCAGGCTCCTGGCTACCCCATATTAGTGGCAGGGGGGGGCTGTTTACGACCCCCCCTTGATATCTCGAGATCTAACCGGCCGATTTTCAAAATTCAAACGGCATTCGATTTGGCTCAACGTGATCTACATTTCTAAAAAAAAATAAGATTAAAAAATGTCAATAGGGGGGTAGAGGGGGGTAAAAACGGGAAAATTGCAGATACATTTTAGACTGTTTATCACGGCCAGGTTTCTGAACCAATCTTAACGCAACTTTTGCCGATCGATAGAGAATGAACCAGGAATTCACATGGATCCTAAAAATATGCATTTTCAAAAATCATAGGCGGATACAGATCATTGAGATTGGGGGTACACAAAAAGTATAGTAAATAAGGTTTTTGTTGGTACTGTTTCTAAAAAGGGTGGCAATGGTCTTGTTATGTTACAATTTTCTTATGAGAGAACGACTAAAATTGTATTGGTCATGCATAGGCGGTGTCAGGGCACCTATGTTGGGAGGTAAAAAATAACCCCCCTTTTTGGACGCCTGGATCCGCCTATTATAGCAAAAACGTGTCAAAAGAGGATGCACAATAACTTTGTATATGTTATCACATGATACCTTTCATTCACTGTTCGTAAAACTGGTGCAGCATCGTGATCTTCGCCCAAATGACTCGCTTCACGAATAGGACCCCCAATTCCCAGTGCTCTGGAGCCGCCCCTGGTAAAGTTATGAACTTGAAATTTTCAGGGAATGTGCCCAATTTAGTTTTAGGAAAAGTCAGAAAATTTCAGCATCGTAGCTTCAGCGGTTTCGGAGATATTCCCGAAAAACCTGAGGGGTGGATAAAAACAACCCCCCCCTGCCACTAATAGGGTTAACCCTCGCACGACCAGGCCATTTCTCATAACACGAACGACCAGGGGGGGGGGGGGTTGTTACGCCCCCCCCTGGCGTTTCGAAACGGAAGGTCGTAGAGCTTAGCGGAAAAAACCAACGGATTGCTCTCAACGAGATCTCGCGATTGGTGGTATATTTTTTGGTCCTAGGTCAACATTTGACCTACTTATGACCGGTCAAAGGTCAAATTTTCCGAAAAAATCAAACTTTTTCAACTTTCCGCGGCGATTGCGGCAAAACGGTGGGAGATATCGACTTGAAACCTTCAGTATCGTGTTCCTTGATCAATTCTCTATCGTTTGAGATGTATTTCGTTTCCCTAGCTCTAAAAATGGCGCGTTGGGAGCGCCGGAAGTCGGCAAGGTCACAGTCGGCGGCAGAAATTCGAAAAATCAAAATTTAAATTTTTGAAATCTGATTGTATTTTTGGATTTAGGAGGTCCATTTGCTTCCTATAGAAGCTAATATTGCTGCATATTCCCATTGAGGTGACAAGAATTAGCAAAATAGTGGTTCGGGCGCTTTTCAAAAATAGTACCGGACGCTGTTCCTCTTGTGACGTCATAGCTCCGTGACCTGACCTGACCCGGTCAATTTTCTTGCACCACACGATAGCCAATGCTTGCCCCAACATGCATGGGAAGTTTCATCATGATCCATCAAACAATGTGGGTATCACCGGCAGAAAACCTAGGGATTCGGCGCACACGTTTGGTAACTGTCGGCCGGAGGCTGTACCTCTTATGACGTCATAACTCCGTGACCTGACATGACCCGATCAATTTTTTTTTCGGCAAAAGATGCGCAAAGGTTGCCCCAGAGGGTATTGAAAATTTCAGCCCGCTACGACAAGCCGTTTAGCGTGTACTTTGAAAAAACCTCAGGGGGGAGGGTTGATACAACCCCCCCCCCCCTAGGCGTTCTAGGGTTAATAGCCACTCATAAGCTGTCCCTTAGCTTTTTGCTCTCGAGCCGCGTTTGCTCGCAAACTCCCTACTGCGTTTGCGGATATGACAATTGAATGAAATGTGCTTTTGCATCCATTCAGTAATTGGGTCGGGTATGTAAGAGCAGTGTATCGCGCTTGTTTTATCTGTTTTAGATGAATTGCTGACTGACGGGCATTTTGAAGCATCTGTCAGTTCATACTGTACAAATAGGGTGGATCCTAGTCATAACATGAATACTTTGATCTGTCTTTACTCAATACACCAGCCTAATAATACACTTGCTGTGTTTGTATTCCGTTAAGACCACCTTATAACGTTTATAATACGGCGTCCTTTCCGGTAGCTTTATGTGTTCCTTTTTTAAAGCCATATTGTGTATGTATTGCTCATGCATAGTAAAGTCGAGATTACAGCCACCGACCTTGGTCAGACCGTTCACTGTGTTCCCGGCGTACTGTGTAGCCCGAGGCTCTGTCTGGCCGCCCGAGCGAGCGATGTGATTGGCCGGTCACCGGCCGGTCACGTGACCGTCTGACCTTGGGCGTCTGTTGCTAGGCCGGCGGCCGAGGCGCGGCGGAATAGGTGCTGCATCTGGGGTCGTGTTCAAGTGGCGGTGTGCGGCGGGGATAGGGTGCAAACTGGGCTTATGATGCTAGCGACCTTTTGTAAAACCGCTGTAGTCGTGAAAAAAGACGTCCCTGGTATGCCTGACTTCATAAGTACGGACATCGACGTGCGATACTGCTTCTGACATAATTCATAAAAAGTCAGTTCCAACTAAAATAGTATATTCACGGGAATCGGGCAACGGCGAGACATCAACGATTTTCTTCAAACGACTCGAATTAGAGGGAACGCTCCTGTCTAAGAAAAAAAAAAAAAACGCTAAGCCAATGTCAGTGCAAATTTTCCTACTCCACAACAATGCGTAAAGAGGGAAGGAACATTGAAATAGCCTGATACTTATTTAGAGCTTCACCTTATGCTGGCTTTCCCCTGTGTTTCGGAGAAACATGAATGAACAAACATGAAGTTTGACAAGGTGAAATGCCTATTCCTCAATCGGTGCTCCAAATGGTCACCATTTCTGCACTCAACGTTCTACTGATGTTAAGGTTTTTGACAATGTAGCGACCGGAGCGTTCCCCAAGGTGTACCGCTAGCTGTCCGGGGTTGTTGCTTCTTCCAAGCCCGGCACCTAACGGCACACCGATCTAATTCGCAGCGCGTTTGTTACTCGCATGACTGAAACTGTTCCACAGCGCAGCATATAGCTCGTCCGGCTAATCTACAGCAGTGACATCGTGTAAAGCCAGCACATAACACAGCGTCAGCCACCCAAGAACAGCGACCGTGAACATAACTCGTAAGCACTGCCGTCCAAAGGCAAAAACGCATATGTCGGGTCATGACCTGACCCGACATATGCGGTTTTGCCTTTGGACGGCAGAGCAGCCATCAGCACATAGTGACACACTCTTCAGGTCAGATATAGCAGTCACGGTAGAGAATCCTACCTACCTCAAAATTACCCAGCAGCTCTTCTTCTTCGTACGGCACAACATGGAAACGTTAGACCGCCGGGCATTGCTCTAAAGCTGCGACGGCATACCCGCACACACACCCGCCAATACCAACACTAACAGGCAAATATAGTTACATTCTAGCGTATCGCAACAAGTCTCCGCACATTTGAACATTGAACCCTCATCGAAGTCTTCCCAGGAGCCGTCTGACGGACGGCAGAAACTGAACGCATCACATTAAACAGCTGGGCCACGCCACGGTAAGCCAATAGTGCACCGCTACAGCTCAAATTACAAACGTCTCACGTGCCCGCAGGTGCCACGGGAACATCGATCACACTCACGCACTGTTTGACCAAACACGCTAAAACACCTGCCATCACTAGAGGTTTGGTCCGTAACACCGCAGGAAATCAAAATCAACGTAGGATAAATAAACGCTAGCTTTTACGTAGTCGATGTACACTGCTGTTCTAACTCGACTTATGACCTAGGACCGTTTAGTTTCAAGCAATTTATCATCACGAAGAGTAGTACATGACATTTACCATACGCTAGAGACAAAAAGAGTCTAGCCAAGCGGATAAGCCCTAAGACCATCCAATGTTTATGGTTCACAGTCGTTTATACAAGATGCATGATGACGTTAATCTTCTGTGAAACTGATGACTAGGACGGGACGGTTCAGCACAACACATCACACCACAGTAATAAGCATAGCTGTCATAAAACGACACCGATAAATGAATCGACTTACGATGAAAGCGGCTACAACGATCCAACTGGCACAGGCAGGGCGAGACGCAGCGGCAAAAAAGCACACTTCTGTGTAGAGTAGGAGGGAAATCACCCTGTAATTGCCAGGGGCGTCACACTGCCACGGGGCAGTTGCCCCGATGGGGAGAGGCAAGGGGAGGAGAGATTAGAGAGGACGGTTTGGACAGCAGCCGGCCCCAGGTCCGGCCCAATGGAGCTTGTCACACTGAGAAACGGCGGGTGTCGCCTAGTGGGTCCACTGATGACATGAAAAGTGCGAGTGGATCCAGTAGAGATGGATACCCGGACCCAACGCAGAATACATGAGACTTCCACAGTATTACGATCTCTAACGCAATCTCTCAGCCCGGAGCACATACACATTACAACTCAGTCTTCAACTGTGAAGTCACCAGAAAAGGGCGGAGATCGGCGAAAAATACATAGGCAAGACATACGTGCACGTACGCAAACACCTATACAGAGATGACTTAGAACGACTAGCGCCATGGTATTTGACATTGCCCTTGTCAAAGCCAAAGGTCCCCGTAATTAAAAAGTCGAAGTCGATCCATTGTTGACATTCACGAGTCAGCTCAATCTCATACATACGTATCGGCGGTGTCATCAGGCAAAATGTCATGCCCTCATTTTGTATGAGTTTGTTCGTCAGCATTCAGGAGGCGCAGTCCCAGCAACGGTCAACTATTCGCTGACAGTCGCCAATGCCGCTGTGACTTTGGGCATTTCTCGTGCCAACGGCAGCAGTGAAGACCCGAAATATCCTCACACCACTGGCTATGGCTTGAGGCGGGTTTGAATGAATGACGAGTGGTCTGCTGGTTCTGGGGACGATGATCAGCTGCTCCCTCAGTCGGTAGACAGACACTCAGAGAGTAGTTTACTGGTCGCTCAGTGTATGAACAGTTGTTCGTTTGGACAGTGACCAGCTGGTCGTTTGGACAGTGTCAAACCGTCAGTTCTGCCGGTGTCTCTGTCGCCACCTCAGCCGCCAGCTCAGCAGTCGCCAGCTCAGACGGTGGCCAGCTGCTCTCGGCCTGCCTGGCTGTTGCCGCTGGCCCGGCGCAGTCGGCCGCAGCCCTGTCCCCCCGCCTCCGTCACCGTATATGTCATCTCTGTGGCCGAGCTGCGGCGCCGACTGGACGGAAACCCCCTGTGGGGGAGGGGAGCGGAGCGGGGAGGGGGGTCAGTCGAAACTCGACGGACGTTCGTCGGGAGAGTAGGTCAGAGGATGAATGGCGACGGAAAGGTAGTCCTCAAAGGAAAATAGAGTCCAGAAAGCGAGAGGAAGAGACGAGAGGATGAAGAGAGGTGGGAGAGAGAGAGAGAGAGAAAAAAAAAGAAAGAAAAATGGAGGGAAGGAGGATTGACATGAACACTGGATGAAATTAAAAAAAAAAACACATAGCTTCCTTTTCTTCCCATGACATTGACGGTCGACCCTTGACACTATGACATTGATCACCACCGAAACTAAACACATGGTTGTACTGCAATTCCACTCTGTTTAGATGGCTTCTCCAAAAACAAGACCAAACGTAATATGCCGACCAAGCAAAAGAACCATGCAGGTAATCCACTTCAGACACGGTAATAAATCTAACGACAATGAGAATTTACGGCGGCACCGGCGGACGGCGACACAGAGCGATTATCGTACTGGGGCTACTCTTGCCTGTGGCTGATCCCGGAGAACTCTGCCATCGAACGCTCCATGTTCCAGCGCCGGTAGTGCGTGCGGAGCGAGGCGCGCACCTCCGAGTTGAAGAAACAGTAGATCAGCGCCACAGCCAGACCCTGGCGACGACACAACGGCAGTGGGTCATATCATGGGTGCAGTAGGGTTCAAGCGTCTCAGGAGCGCTACTGCTAGTGGGCGCTAAAAAGATAATGCTACAGTCACAATACAAGTACCAGAAATCTGCTGTCACGCAATCATAACATTCATTCAATGAATCTTAAACTCATTTTTTAGTCCGAAAGACACGTAAATATGACGAAATGATCACTCAGACCTAACATGTGTAATGAATATTCATTGTAATGAAGCTTTAAATCCACACATATAACTTAGGCCTCCTTTCCGTATAATTTAACGGTGAGATTAGCGTTGATTGAGTTCAAGAAGTGACGATGCCCTGTCTTACGAAATGTGTATTATCCCTGAAAGCCCTGGTGTCTTCTCGGGAAGAGCAAGGCAAGCAAATATCCGCTCTATCTTAAGATCCTCATCAAACATTGGTTAATGGACGCCCGAGGTCGTTCATCAGCCATCTCGCTATTAGAAAGAGAGGAATGAAGACGGGGAGAGAAGATAGAGATAGAAAGAGAGGGAGAGAGAGAGGGGGAGAGAGAGAGAGAGGGGAGAGAGAGGGGAGAGAGAGGGGAGAGAGAGAGAGAAGAAGAAAAAGAATAAGAAGGGAGAGAAGGGGAAGGGAGGTTGAGAAAAAGAGAAAGAAAGAAAGAAAGAAAGAAAGAAAGAAAGAAAGATACTGAAAGAAAGCAGACAGACAGACACACAGACAGACAGACAGACAGACAGACAGACAGACAGACAGACGTACACCATTCCAGACAGCCGAAGCCCTCTCTGCGCCCACCAGACAGCCGAGGCTCTTTCTGCGCCCACCAGACAGCCGAGGCCCTCCCTGCGCCCACCTGCGTGCTGATGAGGACGGCCTGCAGGTAGGCAAACACCGTCTCCAGCATGCCGTAGTCGGTGGGCGGCGCCAGCACCAGGATGTAGGTGACGCCAAGCAGCGGCAGCAGCACCAGCAGAGCCTTGGTGGCCTTCTTGTACTGCTGCGTCTCGGCAGAGTTGGTCGAGCGCAACTTGGTGATCAGCACCTGTCGAAGAGAAGGAAAGGGTTTTATAGAAAGGGATGGGGCGAGGTGTGGTGAAGAAAACGATAGGACAGTTGGCTGACACAAACAGCTGAGTGCCAACAATTTTCTCGAGATGAAGTTCCGCATATCAGCCAGCCAAACCGCCGATGCCTGGTGAGTGGGCATGTGGTGTGCCAGCCACTAGTGACGAACGACACCACTGGTGCACTAATGCGTCTGCTCCTCGCAACACTCGTTTAGCGCGCCCCGGACTACGGGTGCAGTAATGTTGTTACGGAGCGAGCGAAGCGAGCGGAGTCTTTCCTTAGATTAACGGAAATTTCTGAGTATGAGCGGCCGGCCGGCCGTGCGGACGCTTTTGCGAGGCTTATATCTCAGCAACCACTTGACCGATTTATACGCGGTAATTTTTGTAGGGTAGCTTCATTCCTTCTACCAAGTATTGGACTATTCCCGATGCATGTGGGTGACTCCTTATGCACGTGCCACGTGCAAAACGAAGAGGTGTCAGTTTTGTAATTGTTGCAATATCTCGGTAACTACTTGGCCGATTGTGCTGAAAGTTGGCATGTAGGTAGGCACCCACTAGGCAATGCATATCCATGTGCCAGAGTTGGGGTGCTGCTGCACGTGCGCACGTGCAGGGGTCGTTCCCAGATCTCGAGAACGGCTGGGCCGATTGCGCTCAAATTTGGTACGCGGTTAGGGACCGGTTAGTAGGGTGCCGTGCACAAGTCAGTTGGGACCCATTTTGCACGTGCGCACGTGCAGGGTGCCGCTTCCAGATCTCGAGAACAGCTGGGCCGATTGTGCTCAAATTTGGCACATCGCTAGAGACCGGTGAGTAGGGTGCCGTGCACAAGTCAGTTGGAGGTACCCCCTCGAAATTTCGCACGTGCAAGGCCCACCCTCTCGCTCGCTCCGTTAGTCGCCCCAAAAGGCGTTATACTGGTCCATATGCCGGTTGTTAGACAACGGCTGTTTGGTTTGACGATTGGCAGTGACGATGGACACCACGGCAGAGTCAAACAGAAGTCAGCTATGTGAAGATTAGCGATTCTCATAAAACGTCCAATCACCGGTACCTAACAATAGATATTCAATATTCATATAACGTTCCCATAGGGAACATCTACCAATGGCGTTACACAAGCAGCGCCTGGCTGCCGGTCGTTCGGCCGGTCGACGACCGTCGGGCCGATGGATGACCCGTCTCCGGCACCAGGCAGGTGCCCCCTGGCCGCCCAGCGGTCATCCATAACTCCACCAACACCATCAGCGTCACAGAAACTGGAAGCTGACCAGCGCTGGGCCAAAAGGCGTCCATCCGTTCCCATGTGGTTCGATTCAGATGCATTGCTCAGTGTCTTGGTTATTACTGGGGGTAGGTTGATGAGCCTTAGACACGGTGTCATCTGTTACATTCTGACCTTCGGTTTCTGTTTAGCTAAAGTATAAGCAGATATGTCTGTTTTTAGTGTTTTATTCTCTTATTAGGTTGCTTGGAAAGCTATAATAGCTGGTCGCTTTGCAGTAGCCAAAGCTCACTCTTCATCACGTAATTGACGCAAGGAGGGCAGATTTAGGTCTGCAGCTGCTTTTACTACGGGATCGGTGGCTGCCAACTCCGAGCTGAACTGTTACCAAGTGAGCCCCGTGCAGATACGTCTAATGAAACGTTCTAGCTGACATACATTTATCATGCTTTGTATCCCCCTGGCGACAGAATGACACCTGATAAATTGCCCCTTACTAACAGAAAAGTATTTCCAAAATATTGAGAGAAAAAGCGCGATATTGCCGGCCGTCGGACGGGCAATTTATCAGATTGCGCATCCGTCATGGCGCACCCTCTCGGCAATGTATCTGGACGGACGCGATCGGACAAATGGACGCCTTCCGATGGCGTCTACACTAATGTTCGCCCGGCTATCTGGCTCCGGATCACGCCCGGAGTGAGTTTTTGCTGATCATCCTTCTGATTTGTGCGGCTTTCGTTAGAAGGTCCGAAGACAAACGAAATATTTGTGCAACATGGGCAATCTTTATTTCAGAGGAGCTAAGATAAATTGCCTTCTTTCTAAACTGATGTCTCATATTAAAGAATATTGTATATTCAGCATTCCTAATTAGTTTAAAAGGAAATATCACCACTATGTATTTCAAACCCAAACTAGAATAATTGAATCGGCAGTCGCAAACTCTTGCGTGACGGAAATTCTACATTTATCGACTAGTTGGCGTGGTATTCGGCAATGCTGATTTCAAGGGATTTGGGAACAGTCTAATTTAATAAGCTGAATGTAACTTCCTACCTACTTAGCAGTTTTAGAACACATGTGGTTAGAAATTCAGCAAAATACATAAGAAAAAATAAACTCATCGACTTTCTACCTATGTATTCCCTATCGCACGCTCCGCTCGCTTTTCTGGCGATTGACCGTCTGACCAGATGCCAGCGTCTCCTACTTCCTTCCGTCCATCCACCCCTGGGCGGGTCCTGTTGCCACGCCAGCGGACAGCGCGGAGGGCGTCTGCCGCTCTATTCACCACTGGCCAGAGGCCAGTGTCGGCTCCGCTGTCTCCCCCCGCCGCTCTGTATTCCCTGTCACTTCCACCGTCCCTCTCCCCCTCTCTCCTCCTTCTATCTCCCGTCGGGCGCAGCGGGGGTGACGGGCCGTCGGCGCCGATGCTCCGTTATCGCCGACGAGACAGCAGCCGATGAGATGGAGGCGTCGGCGGCGGACGATCGCCGAAAAAAACTGCCCGCTGGACACGACTTTCCACACCCAGAGCCCAGCGCTGGGCCAGAGGGCCCCTGTCCACGCCTAACCAGTCCTATAGAGCCAGCAACGCGCAGTATAGCATGGTTTGGTATAGCGGCGCTAATGCATTCGCAGGCGGCACGCAGTCAGCCCACAATCAGGGTTCTGTGATGACGGTAAATCCACGGATGACACGGTAAATCCACCGGCAATATTGTAGTCATTCCCGTCTTGACGTGACCAAGATCATGGGCTCAACAGTCAACAGGCGGCATGACTACCGAGGGCTGATGCTAATGTCCGCTTGATAGGCAAACCCATCCTGCGGAATTGGTATTTTCCTGCGGGTATTTAGGGTTAGAAAAGACAATCAGTGACAATTAAGGAACGAGTGAATTGACGACTGACTAGTGAAAGTTAAGTGTTTACACTGGCATTTCTTTTGCGTCATTTCACGTATGTAATTAACTTCGCCGTATAAGCTTTCCATTTAGACGGAGTCTCAACTGTCGTTCTTACCATTGCGCATGCAGTTCCTCCAGATCTTATGCGGCCAGTCCCGTAAAATTTCCGGTCCGCTTTCCAGGCTGACCAGCTCCTTTGAGCTGAGGGAAATGTCGACGTGGCACAACCGAAACCTGAACCATGCCGAGCACTAACGCCAAACTATTCGAGGTAAACAGAGACCAAAGCCATAAAACGGATGTGGGAAATGAAAAACGTTCCAGGCCTCTTCACTGAGCAGCTTCCAAGTGTTGTTTATTTGTGCACTGTGCAGCTTTTCTATCCCATTTGGTAGGTAGGCAGGAAATGTTTGCGAATTTCGCCGAACTTTATTTGCTTCGAACAAAATTAAAGCAAGTTACAGCCTCCAAAATTTAAGCGCAAATACATTCAACCCGTGATAAACAATGGTACCTCAAAACTGCAACATCCCAAGCCACTTCCTTCTTCCTCTGTGTAGTGCAGAATTTGTCCAATATTGCGAGCTCACAGCTAAAATATTACGTAGCACGAACAGTGCGGTAAGCGTCGTCCTTCCTTCCCCCTATACTATCGCCGCACTTTGTCTCTGGGAATCGCGAAATGGAGCGGCACAGTCTGAGAGCGGAGCCAGCCGGGGCGAGGCTCTCTCGACCGACCGGCTCTTCCTCCCCTGCCCATACTGGCAGGGTGACAGAAACCCACAACCGTCCGGCGCTTAAAATCGTCCGACTTTTTCGTCGTCCTTGTATTCAGCAGCGACGAACGCTGCTTTGATGTGTTTTTAGTGTGTCGTCGGAAACACTGTTCAGACGGCCACTCAGCAGACTGAACATGTCAGCCAATCAGAGACATTCTATTTCGTGACGTCACTAGTACGCGTCTTTCTCCGGTGGTATGGACAGCAAATCACGGATGTTAGTGACGGCAGTGTTTTTCATGTAATTTTTTCCAAGTTTACCAGCGAGCATAAGCCAGCGAATCTATCGGAGCCCACCTTGAACTGCGTTACAACACATCCTTTATTGTACTTTGAACAAGATTGATAATTTGTGATCCATCTATCTGGCCCGCGAGGAGGGCCACTGCCTGTAGCGACGTCTCCTTTACCCGTTCCCGAGCTTATGGTGTATGAATGGACCGTTCCAATAGAAAGCCCGGAGCGCCGCTGGAAGGAAGTCCCCAAAAGCCGAGCGGGGCGGTTTTAAGCCTCACCCTGCATGCATCAAGCTCTTTAATGATGTTGGTTTCGCGAGGCCATAATTGAAGACGTGGTATAGGGCGAAATAGCGAAATAATAAGTCAGCTTCTGGCTATGTTATGCCAATGTTATGTTAACACAGATATATTTTGAAATGCTTTCAATTATGTTTTTGCTGTTGCAATATCCTTATTTCGACAATGTCAATTTAGAACTGCATATAACATGAACCACAAACCATAAAACATCTACGCTAGGTACCAATGGTCCGAGGTGGATGCAATCTCACATCCTTATCTTATAGGTGATCCATATATAATGTTACCAGGAATTGCCATAAATCCGGCTAGCTCGAGCTCTGATGGGCGACAGAGTGCACCATGTACCATTGATCCGGCTCCGTGGCCGCCCAGATTGGAGCGCGGCGACTCCTTTCAGCGGCCCGGCGCCATATGAAGCTCCGCCGCGGCGTTTCACCGGCCGCCGGCAGCCGGCAGCCGCCGTCTATTTACTGCAGCGCCAATAGCCGGAGGCTGCCGTCCGTCTGACAGACGCAGCTCGCACCTCGAGTCGCGCCGCCACAGGAGACCGATTGGCTTCACGGCAGGGCGGTCGGGAGGAACGCACTTTGAACTGAGGCGTCCCATTCGCGACAGTGTCCTCGATCTCATCTTCTGTCGCCGCTTGCAGCAAAGGCTGGCTAATAAGACATTCCTGAGACGCACGCTCACTACACAACTCAATCAGTCCGCTCTGAAAGCTGCGACGAAGTGTACCGGGAAAATGACTAGGGATCCGGCAGCAGAAAGAGGTTCTCTTTCCACCACTGATAATATGGTGCGGCAGTACGGCGATGGTGGTATTCACCCGCACGATGTAGCCAGCACGGCAGTTTAAGTACTAAGTAGCCAAGAGAACTGTGGGTAGGCACTCCCCACATTATGCTCAGCTCGGCGATGAAGGTTCTTACATGAGCCCACAGGCACACGTACTCTTGTACGATATAGACGAGGTACTCACCCACATGATGCGCATGAGGAAGATGATGTTGAAGCTGAGCACCAGCAGGGCGGGCGCCAGGTAGATCCAGTCCCAGTGACTGGAGGAGAGCCACCGACACTGGGTCGAGTAGCCGCCCTGTTCGTCCAGTACCGGCTGCCGGCGGAGATGGTAGAGGCTAGGTCATCATAGAGTCGACAGAGGTCCGGTCATGATAGAGTCGACAGAGGTCAGGTCATCATAGACCTCAGTCGGAAAAATGGTCTGCAAGGAAGCCATCGGAGCCCTGTGGTATCTCCACACACCCCAGTGGGACGTAGAAGACCAAAACTACGGTGAGTCACCCGTCGCTGGTTAAACGCTACTTTTATGCAGCCTGGCAACGGAGCCTGTTTGTCTGGCCTTTCGACACTAAGCAATAATTGAGGCGAGTGCACTCAAATAAACACACGGACGCGGGTGCGCTTGTTTTTCTGCCGTGCGAAATTGAGACTCGTTTGGAGGGTGCAATTCAGCTTCACTCAGTGTCGAGCCAAGTGGGGCCTCCCAGCACAGGCCGGGCACTTATTACACGCTCCTAAGCTAACACTCGCAGCGCTTTTAATACACGCACTGAGTAGCTGTTCTGCGAATAAAGGCACATATGTGTATGACAGGGCCACCAATGGTTTGATAACTAAATAGCAATCGGAAGGATATCACCCTGCATTGTCAAACACAAGGCTGTGATTCAGAGGCATAAATGCCAAATCGATTACCAATGCGGCGCAATAACGACGAGGTTAGACAAATTAGCGTCCAATTTAGCGCTACGGCGTACCCGAACACAGGAAATGAAGGTTACCAGGATGATCACACACAGCTCCTAATCGGGTTAGCGCATGGATGCAATTAAATTAGCGCCAGTCTAGGGAGGGGTGAGGGCTGGGGATCTCAAAGATAATGGAGACAGTTGAAGGAAAGGATTGTTATTGGTCATACTGCATCTGTAGCCTGCTTTGTGAGCGAGATTGCAGATACGCCGGCTGGCACAGTGCCGATTACTGGAGCAACCGGCAGGCACGGTGCCTTTGCATAAAAAGTGAGCATGTCATCAATGCCGTACATAAGTACAATGCCACAGGTAAGTACAATACCTGTAACAGTTCACTGGCGCAGTTACAGATAGTGAGGTACTGGATTATCGAGGTACCTGGGTACCGAAGTACTGGAGTACTGACCGCGACTGACCAGCCGTCGGCCATGGTGTTAGCGGCGCCCGTGTCGCTGATGAGCGACTCCAGCTGCGGCGATCCGCCCGCCGCCAGCCGACCGGCCGGCTCACTGGTCCGCACCTTCACCAGCGCCCACGTGATCATCACCAGCAGAGGCACGCCTGACAGACAGGCGGTCACGTGATTAAAGTTACAGCTCAGTCACCATATCATCAGCAGAGGCAAGCCTGCAGTACAGAGGAATCGTGAACCATCCCAGCCCGCAGTCGGCTACCAAGTTACGAGTATACTAAGAAGTTGGATTCTTATTAGGAGTTAGCAATAGAACAGCGTTGAGAATCAGCGATGGCCAGTACAATATTCAACTGATTCTACTCACCCCATCCAACCAATAGGTAGAGACGAGTGCGAATTTTATCAGCTGAGAATGTTTGGACGACCAGCATATAGAGGTAGTGGCCTGTGGAGCAGACAGTATTGTCAGATAGTAATGGGCAGAGTGGAGCGACAAAAAAGGTGTTTTTCAACGTAAAAATTAGCCCAATGCGTTGTTCCAAAGGTCAGAAGCAAATTTGTAGGTCAAACCTTTTTTTGCGCAGCTTCGAAGTGTAAACGTACGTTTTCGTACGAAAAAAACACTGTTCTCTCATTTTCTGAACGGCCCGTTCTATTAAAGGGACCCTCCCACCTTCAAAAAAGTTTATAATTGGCATGAAAGTGATGTCGCTCGGTTCAGAAAGAGCGAAAACGAATATCTACCAAATTTCACCGAAAAATATTCACCGGTTTTCAAGATATTAGACTTTTACTTTTGTTTACTTTTTGGGATCTCCGCTGTTCCTAGCGACTTTATTTGGAAGCAAAAGTTTGGCAGCTGAAAGTGCGGCACTTGTTGCGCGCAAAGCAGCATATACCACCGCGTGCTACAAAACGTTTTAGTCAAACATTTAAAAATCGCTAGATATCTGCGCTGACGTCACACATTCAGAGGGGTATTCCCATGCATTAGCCCCTCTGAAGCAAAATGCTGCAATTTTGAAATTCAATATTTCCGATTTAAGGCATTTCTCGATGTTGTGAGTGCCGAAACCGGTAATTGTGAGCCAGGGACCCCATTTTGGCTATCTCAACTCAAATCTAATGTTAAGGTGGGAGGGTCCCTTTAACCCTCGCCCGTAAACGGTGTTTTGCCACCTTCGCCCATGCAGGGGGGGGGGGGGTGGTGCGACCCCCCCTGGCGTTTGAAAACGGAGCGTCATAGAGCTTAACGGAAAAGACCAACGGATTGCTCTCAACGAGATCTCGCGATTGGTGGTATATTTTTTGGTCCTAGGTCAACATTTGACCTACTTATGACCGGTCAAAGGTCAAATTTTCGGAAAAATCTAACTTTTTCAGATTTCCGCGCCGATTGCGGCAAAACGGTAAGAGATATCGACTTGAAACCTTCACTATCGTGATCCTTGATCAATTCTCTATCGTTTGGTGTGTATTTCGATGTCATAACTCTAAAAATGATGCGTTGGGAGCATCGGAAGTCTGCAAGGTCATTTGTGCATTGGGTCACGTCAGGCGTGTGGCGTCACTGACCTGACCCTGACCCAAAATGAACTACAAGAAACAACCGACGATGCCTGAATGGATAGCAAATTCGAATTCAGGGCATCAAAATACCCCGAAAAGGCATACAAGTGCAAGAAGTCATTACAGGTCAACCGAGGTCACTGACCTTACCTTGACCTTAAGTAACCTTCAAAATGTCAACGGACATTGTGTCAATGTCAAATCAGCCAGTTGTGATTCTTAAAACAATCCATCAGTGTGTCAGGTCAGTCGGCATTTATACCAATGTGAAGCAATCTCCAATTTAGCGTAAATCTGGCCGGAGGTTGTTCCCTTTATGACGTCATAACTCTGTGACCTGACATGACCTTGACAAAAAAAATACCAAAAGTTGCGCAAAGGATGCCCCAAAGGGTACTGAAAATTTGAGCAGGCTATCTGAAACGGTTCGGCGTGTAGCTAAGAAAAACCTCAGGAGGGGGGGGGGTTGCACCAACCCCCCCCCCTACATGGGCGAGGGTTAATGGTCCAAATTTTCGGCTGAGGGAGGGCGATAATTACAAAATAACGACTAACTTTTGTTTTGAAAAAGTCGTTAAGATGTTTGCGTACCCACGACAAAATCATGCATCTAGCGATACCGTGTTGTTCCAGTTTATTGCATTTGTGTGTGACTCAATTGCAGCCGGGTTGGACGCACAGCAGTGTAAATTACCTTCGACAAACATCCAGAAGAAGGTGGCCACCAGGCAGTAATGGAGCAGCACGGCGATCACACAGGTGAAGGTGGGGTGGCCCACGCCCAGCTGAAACGGGAGCAGGGAGCTCAGGACGGCTTTATCTAACACAGGTATGGGGTGGCCCACACCAGCTGAAACGGCCACAGGGCAGCTCAGGATGGTGGGCCAGTGCCGTTCACACAGTTCATTACCACCCGGCATAACGGTTAAATCATGAAATCATGTCAAAAGCTGTAAAAGCGGTAAATCTCAAAGATGCTATTTAAGGCTGACAGTGTAGCATGTGATGTGGTTGCCATTGCCAGTTGTAACATTTATTACGTTACGCTTCTCGAGTTATGCCATTGGATACTGGAGTCCGAAAGTTTCTGATGCTGGTGAAACTTGACCTACCTCCATTGACAAGGTAATAATCCACAGCGAGTCGGTTAGAATATAGGTGATGAATAAATTCGCGTGGATGGTATTTCTTAGGCAGCGGAGATCCCTGAAACAGACATTATATTCAATGGATGTACAATTTAAGCCGTCTATAAGAGGAAATCAACAACAATTAAGAACTGGGGAGCTCGTAATCAGACTATGGTATGGCACATAATTATACGTTTACACTAGAGACAGTATGGGGAACGAATTTGATCCCCCTGACACCTTCGATGGATCGCAATTTTGTTCCAATGACTAATAAAGCAATGCTGTTAAATCTCTCGCTACCACTGAGCTACAGTAACTAGGACGTTCTGTTCCCTCCACTACTGACCTGCAGTAGGCGAATATGGCGGTGGCCACAGTCAGCGAGGCCAGGCTGAGGCTGTAGCCGATCAGGTAGATGATCGAGGTGTACTCGGAGCGTCGGAACTCGTCCGGAGGCGGCAGCACCTCGCTGAACAGCGGAATGCAGTCCGAGTAGTTGGCCGTGGCGTCCCACGTGCCGTTCACGTGACAGTAGCGACTGGCCGTGTCTGGAACATGGAGTAAAGTCACGTGGCACTAACGGCTGGCCGTGTCTGGAACACATTGTAGTGTCAGGTGACCATGAAGTTTTGGCTCGTGCTAGAATACATAAGACAACTAAAAGAGACCAGCGTTAAGGAGCGGGCCATAATGGAGCCACGGAGGCATCAAAGTGCGAGCACAGACAGTGAGTACTTACATATGAGCACAAATACACAGACACACTAGTCGCTTAATAGATTATGGTGATTTGGCAAACAAAGCTTTGGATAATTACTTTCCTGGTTGAACAGTAATTTTGAAAATGGAAATGTTCAACTTCAATTGATTTTTAAAGCAGCACTATGATAAGCTCGCGCCAGACTCATGGCAACTGAGATTGCAAACTTCCCAGTCTCCTGGCTGACCCCGAGCCTCCATCAGAGGGCTGGATCACTTCCTCCTCCTCCCTCTCCCTCCCCTCCCCTCCCCTCTCTCCCCGCGGCGCCAGGTCTCGTGGTGGCGCCCACGGAGTAACTTCATGTCAAACTTTGTTCAGCCGAGTACGTGCGGCTAACTCGGCGCGTCGGGCCGTCGCGCCGGTCAGCGGTCGCCGCTCCGGTGGACCGTTCAGTGGCAGCCGCCGCGCTCAGAATCGACAGACCACTTCATCGGAGCCGCTCCAAACTTCTACAGCTCCTCTGCTCGCCGACGAATGTGTCCAGAAAGAGTTCACGTCGCTCCGTGAAACGTTGGAATTATTGAGTGATGGTGCCCTCCGTTTGACTACGCAAGGAAAAAATGATGAAAATATATTGTTTTGTACTAATAATGCATAGTGAATACCTTTACGCATGAATATAAAATTAGATTTGTAACGAGTAAAAAAGGTACGAAAATATTCTCCTTTCTCTCAGAAGGTCTCTCTAATGCGTTTTTAAGTAATGAAAAGGTGGCTATTTATATGATTAGGACGGACGTTCTGAGGCGCAGATATGCCATTCCCGGACCGGCCGCTCCCTGAGTGCCGAGGCCCAGTGACGGCCGTATGAATGGGCCCCGGGAGGAGCTCTGTGCCGGTATATATGTGGTTTCCGGGTATTTACCGTCCCGCTGACCCGTCTCAGACGGCGTAATCAGTGGCGTGGTCCTTATTAGGTGATCGAGCGGCCGTCTGACCGGTCACAACTCTGTCGATAGCTGATCACCGGCTGTCGGTCTGCGGTGTACTGTACCTATACCCCGGTCCGGCGGTCTGTCGGACCCACCGCGGCCGGACGGAACGGTCACTGACCACGGCAGGACCGCCGTGAGCAGACGGGACGCCGCCGGCCGGAGGTCAGATTACACGCCCGATCAAAGCCGGTAGTACGGAGCTTTGATTCACGGGGTGCTCGACAGGCACGGCACGTCACGCCACACCACGGCACGACACGCCGGGGCGTAGGTCACTGCCCCATTCAATATTCCTTTTTTTAGTGGTGATTGAAATAAAGGAGCTGAAAGGTGTGTGACTTTCAAGCGTATAAATGTTGTAAAATCATGGTATTAAATATTTTTTTCTGCATCTCGAGTTATATTAAGTTATGCGTTTTCGGAGTGCTCCCGTTCCATGAAGCTGTGGCACTTACTGTTGCCTCCCTTGGGGTAGATGATGCCTCTGAACTCTTTGAAGCAGGGCAGCAGCACCAGCGTGCCGGGCGGCGACTCTGGCCAGCAGAGCGCCTCGTCCCAGGTGAGCCGGCAGTGGTTGGGCGGCGGCGGCCCGGCACCCTGCTCGTCACACTGCCGGCGGCGCTCGCTGGTGGTGGCCGCCGCCGACCACCGCGAGCCGTTCGCCGGCTCGGCCGCCTGCAGCTGCTGCAGCAGCACGTCCAGCTGGTGGTCGGGCAGCTGCAGCAGCTGCAGGTCCTCCTCGGACAGCTGCAGCTCGTCGGGCAGCTGCAGCTCGTCAGTGAGCTGCCCGCCGTCCGACGGAGGCGGTGTGGTGAAGGCGGCGGCAGGAGATCCACACAGAGCCAGCAGTAACAGCAGCGGCAGCGGCGGCAGCATACTGTAGGTGCTCCGTCCTGGAGAGAGTCAGCGAGCGTGACACGGTCCTGGAACGAAACGCAGACAGTTCGAAGGACGTCACTTTAAGGACCAGCATCAGTATACTGGGAAGCAGAACTATGGGACATAGGCAGACATTGTCTTCGCTTTCTGTCAATGAAAACGCCCATGACGTTGTGATAAAAAGTGTCTAGTACAGGCCGGTCCATCTCGGCGAAATGAGTACAGACTTGGTGTCGTTAAATTGGAGCTAGTTTAGTTATCTCTGAGACTGGGACTAACCAAATCCATTTAGTAGGTACCGATATTTCTAGGTCGAAGGTCAGCCCAACGAATATATCAGCTGGCTTTAACATAATGGCTCTCATCTACTTAAAGGGAAACACGGCTCTGATAACAGAAAGATAGATTTGCTAATTTGCCAAGGGCGACCTTCCAGTTGCTTATCTGGAAGCTATACATATCCGTAGGGATTTCATGACTATGCGGGCAGTTATTCCTCTCAACAAAGCACCGACTACAAATGCAAGATTTAAAAAAACCCAATTCTTGGTACCTACTTTAAAAATAATTCCAAATCTCACAAAACAGACATAGATAACTAACGGACAGAATAAAACAACCCCAAAACAATCATACACAGTATTCAGCATAAATGATAGTCGGAATCAAGATCGAATGGATTGTGTAACTAAAAAATAAATTCAATAGTAAAACACACGCATAAGGGGAAATATAGTTCCAAAAATGAGCCGCTTTTTAGATGATTCCGGATAGCCATATATTTTACGGCCCCTCGGTGATAAACGATTTACCACTTCAATAATCGTCGTGTCAAGCTGGACATTTGCAAGCTACTTGCTCAAAGGCGATCTCGTTTGAAGCATACTTTTGTAGAGCCCACATGCGAAGGCTATCAGAGAGATCATTCAGTTTTGTGTGTCAGACGCACGCATCCTTTTCAGGAAGTATTCATCCCGTCGACCAGTGGCGGATGCGAACTGTCCCTGTGGCTGACAGGGACGGACAAATGGAGCGGAAATTACCAGCAGGTATGCGATGCTAAGCTGACAATGTGCGGCAGGAGCCTCATTCTATATACCTACGATTCTGGATAATTGCGAAATCGAAGATGCGCATTGAATTTATTGTTTCGCATTACCTATCACCGGGCTTGGAAATTTCGTTTTTGTGAACAGTCGAGTTATAATAAGCATCACTGTCAAAGCCTGGATCACAGCTTTGGTGATCATCCATCACTCGCATAGTACCACTGAACTCTACATAGTACCCACAGGCTACAGCCAAAATCCGACCAAGGAGTGAAAAGGCGCCACTTGCCGATAACGGCGGGCGGCCGCAAGTCATGCGGCACAGCATGCAGCAGGCGTCATAATCGAAAGACATCTAGCGGCAGACTACATAACTAGGTTATCGCTAGTGACACCTATTGGTCAGAGAATAGGCTAGACAGTGCACGCTGGTTCTCCTTCCTCTCACTAGATGTCTCTGATTGATTTCGCCTGATGCATACTGTGCCGCACGACTTGCTACTCGGGGACCGCGCACTAGAGTTCTGCACGGCTGCAATTTTCCACAGCCTAGCCGCCCCGCAGCCGTGGCTCCACAGCCACAGCCGCCCACAGCCGTGGCAAACTGTGGGCAGCCAGCCGTCAGCCGGCCGTGGATACTTTCAATGAAATGCAACCAAATAGTATATAATAAGTTGTTTTTAGTTGAAACATAGCCAAAAGCACATTGCAATGGGCTATAGATTTTCAAGCTCATGAAGCATCATAGGTTAAGTGGTTGTGTATCTGGCTTTAGGCGGAAGGCCTGAAGCCTGATGCGCATCGCATGCCTACACAAGCCCTTGCAAGGGGTTAAGAAAGATGGGTAGGTAGGTACCTACATCAACAGAAAACATAAACAACGAACCAGAATAGAAGCACTAGCAGTGAAGACATCTAATGCCAAATCCTGAAGCATGGTTGTGGGACAGAACAACAGACCCTGATGCTTTTCATTAACAATGTTAGGTATGGAAAATGAAACTGAAGTTGATGGACTGTCAAAAAGTGATTGTCTAGTCAAAACTCTTGCTTCTTTCTTACCTTGCGTATTTTCTGGGGTGTGATATGCCAGGCTTGAAGCAGCCTTCTGAGCAAGTCTCAAACTATTTTGATATGCAAGGCATCAAAACACTAGTGAGCATCCAAGAAAGAAAAACATTCATCTATTTTGATTTTTCCAAATAATGATCTTCGCTCAAATCCCCAAGGACGTGCGAGCCACAATTGCCTCTTTAAATCAAAAATTTCACTTGAGTTTTTAATGACGTTAATAGCAAAGAAGTGGCAATAAATTGTTTTGTGTCACTATAAACAGCCATAAAAATTATAATCAATAAATAATAATGCTAAACAGTAGAAAACTGCTCTCAAACAAAGATTAATTATCAAATTTTTACGTTTTCAGAAGAAGACGTCATTTTATTAGTAAAGTCAACGGCTCGCGTAAGAAATATTGTGTTCAGGGTTTTCACGGTCATGTGAATTACGTGTTCAGGGTTTTCACCATCATGTGAATTAACCGTAAGTAAGGTTCATGCTCACTTATAATCTAATTCCATTGGTTTTGTTGATCAGCATTTTCTGTTAGCGGTCACTCACACACCAGTTAGAACATAAAGCGCCAGTTTTATATTATGTAATTGGACTTGCCGAAAATCCAGAAATACATCTAAGAGTTATTTTAGATAATATTTTATGAAGCCTTTACCTGACTTTACCTAGACGTGATTTCTTTTTCTATTACCTGAAAGAATTATTGAACGCTCGTCTTCAATAGCTGTAAGGTGCTCTCCTAATGACCAGGTGAGATTGATTTGAGAGGGATGTGACAATGCAACATATTGCATTTTCTGAAACTGTCAAGCTCTTGATGATGAAGGAACAATCGGTACCTATAATAAGTATTCTGTACCAGAGTGCAAACTCCCCTACAGCAAATGGTAAAACCATTACAGGTTTTCAAAGGCTTCACCACTTTCAATGTTGCTGGGCATCCTTTGCATGATTTTTACAGGCTAGACTGCTTATCAGAATGTAAGATTGAGGATTTAAAATTTTATATTTGAGTACTTAAGATTGAGCTTGAAATCTCACAGCCGTGGCCACAGCCATAGCCGTGTTCTTGGAGATATTTGCAGCCGCCCCGGCCCACAGCCGTGGGGCTGCAGCCAGCCGCGGCTGCAGCCGGCCGGTGCAGACCTCTACCGCGCACATTTCCCGCCCGTGGCTTGTTCGTAACATGATTGTTGATGCCTAAAGTAATATTTTTCATAATCACTCTGAATTTATCTATCACGGCTAGCATCAAACATGAGAAAATTGCAACTTGCATGCATATCCAGCCGCTGGCGACCTTAGCCAGGTTCCACACTCCTGCAGTCTTCAGATACGAACAGATATGCAGATCGGGCGCTCCTGGAGCTAGCCACACTTAGTGTGAATTCGTGTCCGGCGCGGCTAATCCTATGTCTGCTTCGAAGAACGCTATACTTAGGCGGCGCTGGAAAGATGCGGTTCGGTCGACTGGTCACTGGCATTGGTGTTGCAGAGATGGTGTTATCTTAACTCCTAATTTTGAGAGCTTCCTTGAGTCATTGAGTACGATCGATAAACAAAAGGCTCACTGAGTGGTGCTAAGAGATGCATTCGGTTTGATCTGTTTCAGACAGTTTCAACTTAATGGAGCTGTAAATCTGTTCGAAGTTTATGGATAAATGTTCACAGACATTGGTCTAAGGGCTCATGCTTGTCTTTACTGTCCGTTTATCGGTATGACGGCTCTGAGCAGCAGCACGGGATTCTGTAGGGAAAAGACTGTTTGGAGAGTCGTAACGTCTTTTTTCTTCAAATATAGCATTGTTCTTGGGCAAGCAAAGCGTATCGCATCATTTGCCTTTATAACTATCACGTTTTTCTAGTTTCACACCACAATGCGTCACAAGTCAACATGGTTTGACCAAACTCCATATTCCATATACCCAACTTATGGCCGCCCCTATCAGAGTGAGCGAAACATTTCTTGTTCCAAATGTCGGAACGTCCATTCGATTAATTTTACCGATCAAGGTAGGAGTTATTTTTACTTGGAGACGGGCGTCGACGTGCCTCCGGGCTCCGCACTTGAGCACGTTTTAGATGTAACCAAGTGTTGACCTAAGACGGCACCTCGGCTATCATAAATTTCGGTGTGAAGTTAATATGCCCTGTTTGCTGTGACAGTGGGTACAAAACAACTTGTGCAAAGAGGATGTATTAAAAAAGAAAGCGTCACGATTTGAACGAAAAAAAAAACAGTGTAAGAGCATCGATAAGAACGATTTCAAGTCCGTCCCACTAGCAATTGCTGTAAAACATTTTGACAAGTGTCGTTAGCTGATACACTGATTCTACCGATTTCAGAGCCAATTATGTACAGAGACTGCAGTGGCGCTAGTGTAACACCTGTCACCTGTCGATCCCGTACATGTTTTAGCACGTTGCCCCGTCATCGCCCGCTGTGCGGCTGCGGGCTGCTGTGGGCAGGGGAGCTGTGGGCGCCTGTTGTCACCGAGTGAGTGTGGATCGGAGCGGCGGCGCCGGCAGCACAGACCACCTGACCTGACCCGGCGACCTTGAGCGGGGCTGTTCACCCTGTCGAGTAGCGCTAGCCTAATTATTTGGAGTCTTAAAACCATAACACTATGAAACCCCTTGACGTACTCCGATGCCATTCTTGAGAGCACGCATCGTAGTGCCTGTCCGTATCTCGATGTTAGTCAACGTCTAACAAATCCTGTACCATGTTTACTGTTAGTCGGAACAGTCCATAAAACACCATGTTGAGGGTGCTTCGGTTTCCAACACACACATTGAAAATGTTTGCTTTGGATGCAACAGCTTTGTGGCCCATCTACCGTTTCGCCTCTGTGATATTTATTTTACTACCGC